ACGCCGCATTCAGCAATATCACGGCGGGGGGACACCAGAAATGGGCTCCACGCAGTGTACCCATGTGGGGAATCGAAAACGGGTCTTCGGCGTGACGAGCGAACGCTTTAAACGCTAGGCTACCCCACCGCCTCGCATTAATTTGGACCACTTTTCAAATGGCATATGATTGTCTAATCATAGCTTTCGGCCTTGGGACCTGTACTAGTTTACACTTGTCAGGGGTACACAAGGTACAGGGTCTAGACTACCGTTTGTCCGACTTCCAGTTTCGTGGAAGCCGTTGTAGCTGAGTTACAAGGAAGAGTTTATATGCTAGCGATCAGGTCTCTGACTCTGAAAGTATGTGATGTGACCCAACCTTGACACTTACCATATAGAATCGATATTTTACTTCGGAAATGTTATTCCAAATATAACACATGTAACATCTAACGAGCTCAACACAGTTTATGCGATCTTGAGATCAATCAATCTGGAGCAGGATATATGGAAATATATAATGACAGGAATTATGTTTATCTCACTATTTTATCATTTCTCAATATATTTTATCTTTATTTTCAATTTTGTTTTAAATGAAATAAATATGTAACGGTAAATTAGTCCTGTTACGTGTTGATTTCCAAGTTCAAACTACAATGTTTAACGGGAATCCGACTGTAAAAGATCTACCTGTGAAACCAATAACCAACATGGAAATGTGACACGTTCTAAAATGTACTAAGTTCACAGATCAATACAAAGGTATCACTATGAAAGTGCACAACAGAGCGGCCGTACAAACTCCAAGGGGTAGAGAAGAGATAAATGATTCTGCATTCCCTGAAGCCATAATACAAGAGCAGTGATTGTAGCACTATAGACAATGATGGTTATATTCATCTCTAAAGTACAATAATCCAACTTGGAGTGAGTGAGTTAAGATTTTAAGTCACGTCGGCAATATTTCAGCCATATCGTGACTAAATCAAATAATAGATTTATAGTAATTGAAAGTAAATTTTAGAAATCTGGCAACGAAGAACAGTAAAACAACTAGATTATCACTATTTCTCTCTCACACACACACACACACACACACACACACACACACACACACACACACACACACACACACACACGCACGCACGCACGCACGCACGCACACACACACACACACACGCACACTATAAATGGCAATACAATATAAAAACAGGCTATAGATTGACAACAACTGAAATCCAACTTGGAAGGAAGGGCTAAGCAGAGAGTATCCAGGATATGATAATCACATACAACGCTGGTCTTCATGTGGCTTTAGATGTAACGTATGTTGCCAGGCAACAATAAATTCTCTTTATATGCCAAAAGGATGCTATAAATTGTATACTGAGACAGATGATTCTGGAATTATTTTGTCAAAATCTGGAAGAAGTCTAATTGTTGCATACCAATGACCCTGACTAAATCTACAGGTATAACAGTTGAAACATTGTTGCACAACGTTTCAAGCTGCCTCATAACATTCCCCATCATTTAAATTCTTTGGAGGTGCACGGTGCTTTAAATCTGTGCACAAGACGACTGTGGCTGTAATCAGTATGTTTTTCATTTATCGACAACGGGATTACCTTTAGGTCTTCAGGGAGCCAATTGCGTCCGGGTGTCCATTAGAGGTTCGGTTTCAGATCCTGACAGTAGGTCGGCCATTTCCATGGCCAAATCTGCTGACATTTCGAGTGATAGATAGATGTCTCCATGCCACAACTCTGTGACACATGCCTTCAAGGTATGTATGCTCTTCAGGCTGGGATTATAGGCTAAAACACCTCTTAACATGTGTTGAAGATAGCAAGTGGCATCATAATAAAACAAATATTATTTGTATGACACACGATAGAGCTCCAATCGCATAAGATTACAGTTTATGGCCTCCATCCACACAAAATGGGTACCCCATTTCATAATTGAATTAAAAATGGTCTTAAAAATACCAATATCTCAAAGTGAAAAGATTCACACCCAATTTTTTTGTCCTCTTCAGGGATGTATACATTTCATGTTACATTTCATGTTACATTTCATTATGGTCGTTTTATTATATGACATGTTGTTATACCACAATGCATATTGCTTCAGTCCTAAGTAACGATGTTGAGTCTGGCTGTAATGTCCACGTGGGATTTCATCCGGAAGTCTAGAAAACCTATTGCAATACCGGTAAAAATTAGCGGAAGAAAAATACTAAGGAACTGAATGAACCATGATTATATATTGATTGCCAACTGTGATCTAGATTGCAGCCTGTGGCCTTGGGTATGAGCACTTGTCCTGAAGTAATGAGGTAGTTCAGTTGAGGTATCGTTTGATGTTGTTTCTTCTTGTTTGTCTGGTTGCTGTGGGGGCAGAACATGTTATTAACGAAATCCATTCAATAGGGTATAGTTGACTAAAGACATTCAATAGGGTATAGTTGACTAAAGACATTCAATAGGGTATAGTTGACTAAAGACATTCAATAGGGTATAGTTGACTAAAGACATTCAATAGGGTATAGTTGACTAAAGACATTCAATAAGGTATAGTTGACTAAAGACATTCAATACAAGTACCATTCTTTCAACTTTTTAATATTTATTTTCGTTTGTGTGTTGTTTAAATAAAGTCTGTAAATCATCAAATCTGGACCAAACAATCCAGTGATCAACAGGATCAGCATCGATCTATGTAATTATGATACGATGTCAACCAATAAGCGGAGCGTCATAAAACTTTAACCACGTTTTCAATTATCACTTATCAATCATGAAGAACATATCGAGGTAAGTGTTGAGTGACAATAACTGCTCTTAAACCGTTTCGACCCGGAGGAACCCCACTCACACCAGCACCACTCAAAAATAGTTCCCACGAATCAGATGATTCGTTCTCTTTACGGGATGAGGCTGCTCTCCCTATACACCAGATGGAAATTGTTTCAACACTGGGTGTCCTTTGGACTGATGTTTTATATTTCCAATACTTTACTTTGGAGTCTACATTTCACAACCTTTGAATTATTATAGTGCATTCTTTTTCGTATAAAATTGCAACGAGCGCCATTGCTCATGATATAGTTGAAATCGAACAACGAGTCTTCTCCATAAAAGTAGGGCTTGGAAAAAATGCATTCAAGCATTGTATATCTGAGTCATAAAAGGCACCAAATGTCATTGAGTCAAAACAAAATGAAACTAAGAACTTCAGTGTTTAGGATAAAGGAGCATGTTGCTGATTGACCATTGACCTTGATGTTCAACGTAAGCTCCGTTCTCTGTACAGTCTGTGTGTATCTTTATTTTCTCTCTAATCATCCCTCGCACATGGTAGTATAGACATGGGTCTATAGAATATACGATACAATCTGGAGATGCGTACTGCTGTTAACGGATGACTGCCAAGGCAATCGATTTACAAGATGTCAGTCACTCAGTGCCTCTAATAACACGACATTAGAGCGACTCGCCATAACCAACACACGAGCATACCTGTCGTAGACATATCGACCAGTCTCTTGGCGACCATAACAAATAATTATCTCACACAAACAAGTTGACCCGCTATATGTGGGACGTGTTGTCAATAACTGATGTGAACATATTCTATGCTGACGGAATGGGTGTTCCTCATGTTTTGTAAGAGTGAGTGAGTTTAGCTTTACGCCACTTTTAGTACTATTCCAGCAATATCCCGGCTGCGAACACCAGAAATGAAGCTATTTGCAGACATATTGGATTTGGTGGGGCCAGCGAAATTATATGTGTAATAAGTTTTTGTGTCGACGTAAATAATGATCTGACCAAACCAAACGTCAACATACGGAATTATGAAAATAATCTGACACCAACTTATCCGACACCACCAACTTATCTGACACCACCTAAAATCAGTTTGAAGTAGCAGTTAGTGACCTTAGATCGTCAAGAACCCTCCCTACTTCAAATCCCTTTTCGCCCTGATGATGTTTCATAGTTTTACCAGCAACATCCCAGTGCTAGATCGAGGTTTCACAAAACTGAAAAAATGTCAGGGACAACATTGAATTGGGCTTTTTCCCGCATTAACATGTGAAACTCCGTGATTTAAAATGATAATCATTCAAGTCACATCTATGAAGGAGAATCACAGAACTAGATAATGGAGGTATGCCGCTAAGTACGTTAATCCTAACACATCCTCTATCTTCACTCAACATCCAATCAGTATGTTCACTCTCTGTGTTCAGTCTATGTGGATCTGTTATTTCATTCAAAATACTCAACATTCACCCTCCACACGTTCACAAACAGAATATGCATGTTCTCTTTAAATGCAGCCTACATATTAACTCAATATCAAAAATATGTATTTACTTCAAATGTCACTCTCCATACAACATATATGTCCTCCTTCACCAACACATCTGCTCACGTCTAGTGCAGTTTCTGTATTCAGTTTTAAAGATCGTCCCTGATCAAGTCTCCATGCATACTATACATATAGTCTCTGTGTTCATTATTTATACCATTTCCATGATTGCTCTACATACAATTTCTTTATTCGGTATGTTCACTGAACAGCTTCCTTCTGGTGCATGGTGGCAATTGGTATTGCCCTGCATGGCGCTCGATGTTAAAGGATGTCTGCTAAACGTCAGTAGAATTTGCCTGTGTGAGGCAACCATGCGGTATGGTACTTCAGCACAATTAGCGCTCAAGTCTATGTGGAAGAACTTGAGTTCCCATTGGTGGCATCTGATAAGGACCAGTTGTTGAGCGACTGCCACTGTGGGCGTCCACGTGATCTTTCTTGACGTCAATGTAGGCGGAAGTATGTAGCAATACGTAAACATAAGATGTGTGATAAATACAGTACATTGCTATAAAATGGCTCCAAACCTTGTCCACAGACCACATTCACTTTTTGATTCATCAGGTGAAATGTTTCCCTTTCGAAGACCAAGAGCTGACGGGCATGGTGACAGACTGAGAGTAGCAGTCATGGGAGCGGCAGCTTGTGGAAAGACATCATTTCTTAACCAGTACCTTCAACAGATCTTCCAGCACACATATTTTGTAACCGTCGGAGAAATCCACACCACGCCAGTGGAAGTAGAAGGGAAGCCAGTTGATCTAGACATCTGGGACACTCCGGGTGGACTCTACTTTGAAGCATTAAGAATGAGAGCTATTCAGAATTGCGATGCATTTCTCTTGGTGTACGCCATGGATGACATTGAGTCCTTTGAGAAAGCCATTGCACTGCAAGAAGACATCATGGAAATGAGAGGACCAGTTACAACGGTCTTCATTGGAACCAAGGCTGACCTCAAGTCCAGCCAATGGTTGGAACAACAACACCAATTTTCTGATTTCGTGAGTGAAAGGATTGGCTGCGCCCATCATGAGGTCTCGGCTAAAACTGGAAGTGGTATCTCTGAAGTGTTTGTTGACATTTTTAAACAATGGCAGAAAGGACAAAAGAAACCAAGAAAGTCAAAGATACCAAAATGGCTGAAGAATGGTAAAAATACCCTGACAACATATCTGAGGTCCATATTTTCATGATGATAATAAATATGTTATATAGTTTCATTCATGTTGTTGTTTCTTTTACAAAATGTTTCTGTTGTCTGCTATAAGGCTGATTGATGTATTCTTCCTACACAAGGAAACCTTACCTTGAAATCTAACCTCCCATTTAGCCAAACTGAAATAAGGACGGCGAAACTTTACAATAGCGCTGAAGCACAAGCTCAAACAATTACAACGCAGTACAGTACACCGTCGTCATAATGGGTATAATGGTCTTCACAAACCAAACAGATGCAATTCATAGCGGCCTTATGTACAAGAATGCATGACTGTATCTGAAATAAGCACTTATGCCAACAGGATGTCCAAAGCTATTTCATGTAACGTTCCACCGCCTCCGTGGTGTAGTGGTTAGAGCGTCTGCCCGGAGAGCGGAAGGTCGCGGGTTCGATCCCCTACCACATCATACCTAAAGACGTTAAAATATGGTACTTGTTGGTCCCTGCCTGGCGCTCGGCATTAATGGGTACAACAAGGACTGGTCGGTTCGGAGTCAGTATAATGTGTCTGAGTGGGGTATTCATGTTTCACTGCGGCATGGTATCTCAGTGGGCTAGCACTATAAAACCAGCTTCAGTCTGGGCTAGTACAAGCAACCGCACCTACACATACACACGCATGCACGTCGTCATATGAGCGAAATATTCTCCAGCGCGACGTAAAACCCAATTTCACCTCACCTCACCTCATGTAACGTTCCTGTTTTGACGACACCTTATTGACAACACCTTATTGACGACACCTTATTGACAACACCTCATTGGTATGTGCATCATCAGAGTTCTGAAGTAAGTTTATGAATTGTTGATTTAGGTTTCTGTTCATATTCTACTACTATACTGTTACAAAAGTAGGGGATATTCAATAAATCAAGCTTCCCAACTATTGATAATTTATTATTTTATTAACAGTGTAACAGGAACATCTGACTGACTGAGATTTGTATTTCGTTCGCCTATTGCAATGTCCGCCTCTTGCCTCAAGTCACCTCCTCGTGGTGAGGTCTTGGTAACGTAATAGCTCTTTCCCGGTGTGGACCCGGGGTAGAATGTGTCAACAGCACCCAATTGCTGGTCGTAAAAGGCGACCGAATTGGGCAACCTTTTTGCCGTGGGCTGCGCCCTTGTGTCGATGGAGGAAGGGATTCTCGTGGTTGAGTGCACTGGTTCCATGAACAGTGTTCCTTTACCCAATACACCACTTCGACCATTACTTCACCTGGACGGAATGGGCCCGGTTTTAATGATCGGCTGGTCATGCCTGTGCATGTATATTTTGCTGCACAAATGCAAGAAACTATGTCAAATATCTGTCAGATGCATTGGCTTGTTTGAATTTCAAAAAACTTCAGTTTTGTAATCTGCCTCGAATCCTATGCTACACGTGAAGGTCCGGGTTAGAATATTGATCTTCAGTAACCCATGCTTGTCGTAAGACGCGACTAACGGGATCGGGTGGTCAGGCTCGCTGACTTGGTTGACACATGTCATTGGTTCCCAATTGAGCAGATCGATGCTCATGCTGTTGATCACTGGATTGTCTGGTCCAGACTCGATTATTTACAGACCGCCACCATATTGCTGAGTGCGGCGTAAAACAATACTCACTCACTCGAATCCTATGCCCAGAAGGCGGTGTCTCATGGGCCAACCTGCTAGAATAATTACTTTTTATTATTCTGCTTGAGAATCATCATCATAGTATCCTTGGTGCTGCAAGTGTACTTGTTTTAGCATTGTCTTTATGATGCTCCGTGGTGGGTGGGGAACTGGGATGATGAAAGTTTACACATCAAAATGGATCTTGAAACACACACACACACACACACACACACACACACACACACACACACACACACACACACTGAAAAATAAACGTCAGCTTGATCAAAGTACAACTGATAGTTGTAGGCCATTTAAATAAGTAGACAACTGGCCAAGATGTCTAGTGAGAGAGTCTCCAGATAAAAAAAAATTAAACTCAATCCGTTTGCTGTTTCTAAAGCAGTGTATAGTATAGCAGGAGACGTAAAAAATATGAAGCGAGTGAGATCTGGATCATTTCTCATAAAATGTAGCAACTAGCGTCTAACCTGCTATCAGCTGTTACGTTGACTGAATTCCCTGTTTCAGTGTCAATCGATCGGACCCTCAAATCTAGTAAAGGCAGAGGTAGAGATCATCTTTTAGAGGAATTGACAGAACTTTACGTCATGCTAGAACTCAAAGATTAAGGTGTCACGTACGTGAAACGATTTACAAGGATTCAGAAGTGGTTCCAACAAACACATACCTATTCTCATTTGTCTCTCCAACGGCACCAACATCAATCAAAACAGGATATTGTAATATTCAAGTTGAATCGTATATTCCAAATCCGTTGATCCGGGCAATAAATGCCCAAAATTTGGTCATGGGATCAATTTATGCTCAAACCCAATAACTTGTGCTCATTGTGGGGAGCAATCACGTCACAGAAGACTGTTCAGGTGAGTATTCCTCATCATCCAAGGATTGCCCAGTCTGGAAGACGGAAATGTAGGTTGATACAACATTCTCAAAACATCAGCTATGCTGAAGCTAAGAAACTTGTACCATGTGTCCACCAAAATGATTCTTATCCTTCTGTTATCAAAAGACCATTCGCGACCACAGTCTCAGTTTAATGCCAGACAAAACTGACATGGACAAAGTCTATTTCTCCTGAACTTGTCCCAAATCAAGAAATGTTAGTCCGAGGAGACGTGTTAGTACTGACGTGTTACCAGCTACATTGACATCATCTCAATCTCAGTCTATGTCTTCTTCACAGAAGGGTCACGCATGTCCAAAGACACAACCAGACAAGCCCAGGCGTAGTAGGTCACCAATAAATGCACCTAAATTATGAATTATACGGCACCCGTGAAGAGCCACCTCCTTTGCTGGGTAACGCTAAGAGCTCTTGATGGTCGTAAAAGGTGACTGATTTGGGCAACCTGTTTGCCGTGGGTTGCGCCCCTGTGTCGGTGTAGGACGGGAGTCTGGTGGTTGAGGGCACAGGAACAAGGATCAGGTGTTCCTGTTGCCCAACACACCACTTCGCCACTTACTTTACTTAGACGGGGCACCCGTGAAGAACCACCTCCTCGTGGTGGGTGCTGGGTAACGCTAAGCGCTCTTCAAGCCCCCGTAGTGGACCCGGGGGTATATTTGGTCCACAAACCCGTTTGCCGTGGGTTGCACCCCTGTGTCGGTGGAGGTAGGGATTCTGGTGGTTGAGGGCATAGAAACCAGGAACAGTGTACCTATTGCCAAACACACCACTTCGGCCCTTACTTCACCTAGACGGGTGGTTGAATGGGCCCGGTTCAACCAATAAGGCTGGTCACGCCAAGCTCTGAGCATTACATTATGTAATTTTGAAAATTGTAACATACTATTTTTAAAAGTCTTGGCGAATTTTTAGAATTTTAGAATTTCAAATACACACATTCATGTTTTTGCCTATAGTCGTATGCCCAGAAGGAGGTGGCTCATGGGCCAATCAGGTTGAACAGCTACTTTTGTATTATTCTGCTTGAGTATATCATCCGGGTATCCTTGGTGCTGCAGGCTGGAAACCCGCCTGTTTTTTAGCATTGACCTTGTGATACTCCGTGGAGGGTGGGGAGCTCGGATGATGAAATAGTATAATCTTACCATGGCTTACGAAACACACACCCCACCCCACCCCTAAAAAACCGTCCTCTTGATACTACTGATCCTAATGTTAACGACCAAAGACTGTCCACATCCATTGACTACTGGCCACGTTTTATTGTAATTGAGACCATTGACAGTACTCCATTAAAGCTGAACCCTTTCGCCGTATCAAAAGGCATACAAGGCATTGGGAGGAGATGTCAGAAACGTTAAACGTTTACGGACAGGTTCTTTACTTGTTGAATGCAGTAAGAGGCAGCAGGCAAACAACCTCCTGTCAACTAAATCCTTTGTCGGGATTCCCGTATCAGTCTCTGCCCACCGAACGCTTAACACCAGCAAGGGTATAGTGAGAGACCGAGACCGACTTTTTGCTGATATGATGGAAATTGATATTGCCTCCGAGATGAAGGACCAAGGCGTGATATTTGTAAAACGTTTCACTACCCGAAAAAACAACCAGATCAAACAAACCAACACCTATTTGTTTTCATTTTCAACTCTAACTGCTCCTAAATCAATAAAGGCTGGTAACTGTTACATCGAAGTGGAAACGTATATTCCGAATCCACTGAGATGTTTCAAGTGCCAAAAGTATGGCCATGGTGTAAATACCTGCACATTGTCTGTTGTGTGTGCTCACTGCGGTGAGAAGACCCACACAACAGAAGATTGTGACAGTAATTACAAAAATGCACCAATTGCTCAGGAGACCATTCCTCTTTCTCTAAAGAGTGTCCGATTTGGAAGCACCAGATGGAAATAAACAGGATCAAATTTACTCAAAATATTAGCTTTGCCGAAGCGAAACAACTTGTTCAAAGAGGCGACCCACAAGAAACATATGCTTCAAAAACCAAAACACCCATCCACTAAAGATTCTAAATCTTCTTCAGATTCCCAAACAAACTTGACTTGGGTGAACACCGATTCTCCACAGACTTTCTCACCCGCAATATCCACTCAGACTGCTGAGCCACTTCCTGACATGTCACAAAGTCAATCAGGGTCAGCTTCTGATCATGATTCATCATCACAGCCACCCACAAGAGCTCAATCGTTCTCTAATGTACAGCAAATTCCTAGAGAAAAAAATAAACCTAAGCCTGATTATTCAAAAAAGCAAAGTGGCAGAGACCCAAAAGGGTCCGAAAATAAAATCAAACTTTATAACAAATATAATAAAAATAATAAAAGTACTTTTATAGCGCCTATGGATCACTTGAGGAGTCTGAAAACGTCCATTCTATGGCACAAAGCTTGTCGCCCAACAAAAAAGTGTGGGGTAGATCCCCAATAAATCCCTCCAAAAGATAGGTTATCCAATACTATCATACAGTGGAATTGTAGAGGACTAAGGAATAATTTCAATGAATTGCAGCTCTTAGTCCAGGATTTTAGTCCGTCAGCAATCTGTCTGCAGGAGACATATTTAAAACAGACAGATGCTTTTGAACTACGTCATTTCAATGCATAACATTATTTTTTTGCCACATATTCGCAAACTATGGTTCAATGATAAATGCAAACAAGCTAGAAAGGAACGGAAAAAGGCAGAATACTATTTCCGTCGACACCCCATGGTGCATAATTTGAATAAATTTAAGATTTTAAATGCTAAAGCACGGCGTACTTTTAAACAAAGTAAACGCCAATCTTGGCAAAACTATATATCATACATTAATTCGCGTACGCCAATGTCTAAAGTCTGGAATATGATCCAAAAAATCAAAGGTAAGGGCTCCAAATCTAGCATTCACCATTTTAAAGATGGAAACCAGTCATTAACTAATAAAACCGATATTGCTAATAAACTTTGGCTAAACATTCTTCCTCATCAAATTATGAACCAAAATTCCAACAATACCAAAAACAGCAAGAACAGAAAGCTATTAATTAAGCTTTAATTGTTCCCATTCCTAAACCTGGACGTGACATACTGATCCTTCCAATTATAGGCCAATTTCACTTACTAGCTGCGTTTGCAAGACCATGGAATGCATGATAAATAAGAGACTTGTTTGGTACCTGGAATCCAATAACCTAATAACAGATACATAATGTGGTTTCCGCAAAAACAGAAGTACCATCGATCATTTAGTGCGTTTCGAATCTTTTGTTAAGAATGCTATAATTAATAAACAACAGGCAGTGACGATCTTTTTCGATCTAGAAAAAGCATATGACACCACATGGAAACATGGGATTTTAAAAGATTTACATGACTTTGGATTACGAGGCCGATTGCCTCAATTTATATCCAACTTTTTTAATGACAGGCAATTTCAAGTCCAAGTGGGTTCAACACTGTCTGACCATTACAATCAGGATCAGGGTGTCCCACAAGGCAGTATTTCATCTGTCACACTATTTAGTATCAAGATCAACAGTTTATCAAATGTTTTAAATGATTCAATCGATGGATCACTCTTTGTGGATGATTTAAATATTTCTTGTCGCGGTAAAAATATGCACACTATTGAACGGCAAATGCAGTTGTGTTTAAACAAAATAAATAAATGGTGTCTTGAAAACGGCTTTAAATTTTCTAAATTAAAAACTAATTGTATACATTTTTGCCGTAAATACAAACCTCATAAAGACCCAGAACTATTTGTAAATGGTACACTCATCAAGGTTGTCAAGGAGGCCAAGTTCTTGGGTATTATTTTCGGCTCCCATTTAACCTTTTTACTGCATATTAAATTCCTAAAGAATAAATGCCTGAAGGCACTGGATTGTTAAAAGTTGTTTCCAACTCTAAGTGGGGAGGGGATCAAACTACCCTCCTACATCTATACCGATCATTGGACCAGTCCAAGCTTGATTACGGCTCCATCGTCTATGGTGGAGCTTGCAAAAACAACCTAAAATTACTTGACTCTGTCCACCACCAAGGCCTGAGGCTCCGTACTGGGTCTTTCAGAATTTCTCCTATTGACAGTCTCTACGTCGAGGCTGATGAGCCATCACTTAATAAACACCGTATCAAATTAGGTTTACAATATATTACAAAACTACATGCTAACGAGTCTAACCCTGCTTATAAATGTGTCTTTAATCCTCTTTATGAGGATTTGTATAACAAGAAACCTTCTCTTGTTCCGCCTCTAGGGCTAAGAATTAGGCCATTCTTTACTGCTGCCGGCATTTAGCTGTTTAATATAGCTCCTTCCCGACTTCTTTCTTCTCCTCCTTGGCAATTGGTTAGACCACAAGTCGACCTAACATTAACATTGTTTAAAAAATCAGAAACTAATGACTTACAATATAAACAAGAAAATAATCAATTAAAAAGTAAATATAATACATATAAATCCTTATTTACAGATGGGTCCAAGGATGGTGGTGCAGTGGCTAGAGCCACTGTCATTGGGTCCAAAACAATATCTTCCAGATTACCCAATGACAGTTCAATTTTCATAGCAGAAGCAAACGCAATACTTACAGCTCTTAAATATATAAATAGACACCCTAAATATAAACAGTATATCATATTTTCCGACTCTCTTTCTTGCCTTCAGGCTATTAAAAAGCTTTATTGTAAACA